TTGCAGTTCATGTCGTTGTCACATCCGCTGCCTGACTTCTTGCGGTCAGGTTCCGGATCTTCGCTGTTCTCGGACTGATTGCCCTTCTCGTCCGACTTGGAGTTCTCGTTGTCCTCTGCGGGAGGCCCGCAGGTGGCAGAAGGGCAGGAGGGGAGAGAGAAGACATCGAGTTAGTGGGGCAGTAGAATTTAGGATCCAGCATAGCACGAACCGCAGCGCCCGTCTAACAAGAAAGCCCAGGCTTAGCTGGAGCTTAGGGGCAGGGGTGGGCCATAGGCCAGCAATACCAGCCTCTTCCGGTAGGCCTTCCACAAACAAAGCCCCACACCTGGCACTTATGGAGACCCCCAGACTCTGCCCTGACTCTCCAGGTCAGATACTGCTTGTGAACAGGTGATTGTTAGGCACAGTCAAGCGTGGGAAGTCCTGTGGACACACCCAGGGAGTCAGATTAACATGGAATACGGTTTAGGGACACGGAAGACAAGACAGTGGAGTGCCCCGTGACTGTTAGAGAGGTTTGTGCTTTCCGTTGACGATCATCTATTCATTATTGAAAATTACACTCTGTATCTGTGGTTTCCCCGCCACCATGCTATCATTCACCTTTTGACTCTCATTTTATGTCTCTCTTCAGCTGTAAGCTCGTAATAGTAAGGGGTTTTGTTAACTACTATATAAACAAGAGGCCGAAAATTCTAGAACTCCAGCTGGGGGAGGGTGGGGCGACGACCACAACACATTTTAGGGACCCGGAAAACAAGCTCCACCACAAAGTGCGCCCACCCCACACCCCAAGCTGTGTCTGGAATAGAGATATTCCTTGTCCACAGCCCTGGAGTTCTGGTGCTCTAAGCGGGGCAGGCCGATGGAGGGGTCTGCTTTCCTCATTTGAGGGAGAACAGATTTCCCCTCAGTCACAGACTCGGGAAACTCAGAGGGGATGTTGATTTTTATGGTTTTGCCACAAAGTGTGGGTAGCAGACTGGATTAGAGCCTTGGGCGAATCCTGTACCCACTCTGGCCCTCATTTCCCCTGTGTCTATGGAAGGGGACTGGAAATAGGAAGAAGACTAAACGTCCTGTAGCTTCTAGAAGTGTACTCCCTCAGATAATCAGAAATGGGGGAGCACGGACTTGTTATAAATACTGCAGGAAATAAAAAGTAACAGATCAGCATCCGAGAAAATATTTAGTATTGTTTTATGCTGAAAGCTGTTTACTGGGGCAAAGGTTCCAGAAAAACTTCTCCCCCTTGAGTATGGATAGATAGTATGGAGCGGAGGGAAAAAAAAAGGAAAAAAAAAAAAAAAAAAAAAAGCCTCAAGCCCATGAACTTATATCCTATTTTAGAGGCTCCATCCCAGCTTGGTGGGGACTGAACCTTGACCATCCTGGACCTGGCAGAGCTATTCCTCATACTTGCTCTAGCTATGGAGTCATAGCACGATTAAGGATGGGAGGGCCAACATTAAGTGGTTAATCTGTCCTGTATGTTTATGTGAACTACATATACACATAAATGTCACGGCACATATATGTTTATACATAATATGGATATACACATTGGTGTGTTTTGAGATAATCAGTCAGGAACAATTTCCCAGATACATCCTGTTATATGATTTGGCTAGTTGCTAGGTCTCTGACTGTGGCCCTCTAGTTGCTACCCACCCCTGGTGTTTGGACCAGCAAGCCTTAGCTATAAAGCATGGAGAAGTAATACCTGTTATACCTGAGGTATCTTTAGAGTCTGATTCAGAGTCGGATGTCTCAGAGGATTCTGAAGTTTTCTCTGGCAAGTGTGGGAGCTGCGCAATGTCCATGGGTGTGTCCTTGTACTCAGGGTTACTGTGGGAAGGAAGACATCCATCAGGAGGGCAGGCATTCGTCATCTCCTGAACTTCCCTGCCCCAAACTTCCAGAGTTGAGGAAGTTTAGAGGACTGAATAGGAAGTTACTTCTCAGCTCCTCACGGGACTTTTCACAGAAGCTAGGCTTGTTCGTGCCAGGGTACAGGTGCGCCCTGCCACAATGATTGAATACCCCGAATGCTGCACGAAAGGCACTAAAAAGCTTTTAAATAATCAGGTACCACCGGGGGCCAGAGAACTGTGCAGCTTGCCGCTCCTCCTGGCATAACACCTGGGGGCTGGGCCAATGAGAGGAAATCTCAGCCATTCATTCCCATACCACCTGGTGTGTCCTACCTTCTCTCAGGCTACTAATGAGTTCATTGCCTCAGTACCCTTGCCTTGGCCCCTGGATGCAACTTCTCAGCTGTTCTGTTGGTTCCAAAGCTATTGGGGAAGGGGGTTGGCAGGCCCTTGGTGCCTAACGATCTGTCAGATGCACAGGTGCATCTTGGGATGCTCAGCTCCCGAACTGTCAGCACACCCATTACAATCACAGTTTCATCTGCTCATGTGGTGTACACCTGTGGCTTGTTAGCTGGGAATCTGATTGCAGTGGGAGAGGCCCAGTATAAGAGAGACCCTAACAGAATGGAGCTAAACCCATGTACACAAATGTGCTTAATGTTCTGTTTTTAATTTAAGAATGAGCCTCTTCTGGAAATGAAATGCTTGGTCAGTTTGAGCCAATCCCAGGCTGCCAAACTTAAGATCAGTAGAGGCTTCTGTAGCCTCTAGGCACAAGGAAAGCGCCTTGCCTCCAAGTGGGAAAAGCCTCTTCTGTCTTGTACACGGGCTGGCCAAAGCAGTGACAAGGCACAAGGGTCCTCATATGCTTCTGAATTCCCCCATTTTAAGAAGTCACTGCAAATGTCCCTGGGAGGGTTAATTCACTGAGATGGATTATCAGGCATTTACTCCTTAGTGTGAATTAGCTTTAGCAGCAACAGCTTTCTCTAGATAATCAGATGAGACTAATGGTAGGAAGGCCGACTTGGCACTTTGCAGTCTCTGAGTGTAGAATTCTGGTAATGCTGCCCGAATGGGCAGAAGATCAACGGCAGTGTTCTGAACAGTGGAAGGTGAGCCTGGATAGGGTCCAGAAGGGGAGTATTGCTTGGGAAAGAATAATCCCTTTTGGCTAAGAAGGTGGGAAAGAAAAGCCGATTTAGGAGTTTTGCTGTGCCAAGGAATGATTTTCTTAGTAGGTCTCCAGCCTACAGAATGGTACCCATGAGTGGCCACCTTGTGAAGTGGCTTTTGTCTCAGCTCACTGGAACCCTGTAGTCTTGGTGCCATGGGGGCTCCATGATGATTGGTCTCCAGTTGGCTGTCAGTTATTAGTGATCTCAGGGTAGGTTTTAAAGCCATCTGTAAAAGACCTACCATACCTGAGACCAAGGCTCTGATGCCCGAAGGCTGGCCTTTCCTGCCCAAATGGCTTTCTTCCTATCTGTATGGAATTTGATGAGCTAGAATAACCAAGTGCTTGCAGGCTGGTCCTGTTTGACTCCAGGCTAGATTACTGGAGTTGATCCAATGCCTTCTATTCCTTGCTGCTACTTCTGCCATTTCAGGCAGTGGGAAGTGGCTAATGAAGTAGTCTAAAGTAAACAGTAACCGAAAAATAAATAAAATAGGCAATATTGCCCAGGAAATAGATAATGACAGGTAAATAAGCCCCACAGGCTATGAATAACAAACACACAGATGACCTCAGAGCCCTTCAGTGCATTAATGTGGCAGACAGACACTGTCTATCCTTTAGGAAGATTTGCCAGGTTTTATTTCTTTATAGCGACACCACCACTTTTGCCTAGCAAAGGAGCATGTGTATGTGTGTGGTATATTGTTCTATTTTCTGTAGGTCACAGGAACTTTCATGGCTTTCTGTGGTAGACATAGTGACCTTTTCATGGAACGACTTAAAAGGATCTCTTGATGTCAGAAACTCCATGGCGATATCACAACCAAAGGGGATGGTCCTCACCATTATCAGGCCTCGTAGAAAGCCACACTAAACACACAAACACACCCACACACACACACACACACACACACACACACACACACACATACATATTTTTACCTTTAGAGAGAATTAATATAGAGCAGAAGAGGTCAAAAAAGGAAAAAGAAAAGTAGATAAATGAAAACTCTTGTAAGTGGGATCCATTAAGGCCCTCTCCAGAGCAATAATCATTAGTGTCTGATTGATATGCTGTGGGAAGCAAACACATTCATGCCTCCAGTCAAAGGCCAAAGTCTGGGAAACACTGAAGGGCCAATGTGCTGATGAGCCACGCTGGTTAACATCTCATCTCCATTTGGCTGTCTCTAAGAAAAATGGGACTCAGGTAGTCTTTGTCGAAATTATCAGCCAAAGGGCACCAACTTCCATTCATTAGCTCTCCTGGAAGTTTTTCTACTCCTGCTTGGTGCCTTCAGGGCAACGGAGGCCAAAGACTAGAATGATGGTGGTGGGTGGGAGCCATGCCACACACTGTGACAGGACTGGTAGCAAACTTTGCAGAAGGCTTATCCTCAAACTGAAACCATCCAGGTTGTCAGAATCCCAAAGCAGAGCAGACACAGGGAAAGAGAAAGAAAAGGTACCTCACACTGGCATTTGGGAAGCAGTGAATTTGGACTACCATGGACATAAAATTTAAGACTATAAAACTTGTCTAAGAGCTTAGAGTAGCAGGCAAAAAGAGATGGTTTTAATATTACTATCATCATCATTATTATTTACAATGAGATGATTAGTATTCTGGCAAAGTGCTTCATCTTGCTTACCAAAATTTGAGTGCCCAGAGAATAAAACCCTATGCAAAAGGCTGAGGGGATGGCATGCCATCCTCACTGGCTCTGTCTGCTTACTTTGCCAGGGATAGGAGTGCAGAGGCAAAGGCGTGGAGAAAGGAGACACTTGCTATCTAGACTGCAGCAGCAGGCAAAGGGCTCCATCTTTCCTGGGTGGTACATGGACCAGGAAAGTGGTCCCCAAAGACTGGCAACCCAAGATTTACTGGGCTGTGATTTCTCCCATTTCTTTGAATTTGGGAGGAAGAAGAGCAGAGTACCCATGTCCCTAGAACAGATGGCACTCAATGGTGCGTCAGTTACTAACCACAGTGTGCAGTTTATAACTGAGAGAGAAATGAAACAGAAAGGATACCTAAGGAGATAATTCACCCAAATGATATTCTTCTCATTCGCGTTCTTGGCATTAATAGCTATGGTGGCACTAGATTGTATCCAGATGTAACCTCCATTCTTCTGCATCCAGCGATAGTACTTCGTCACACACTGACCCTTATTCAGCACTGGGGGAGGGGAAAGGGGGGAGAGGGGGGAGAGAAAACAAAACAGAAGATATAGTATTAAGATTGTCACAGAATTGATTTTCATCTCTGCCCAACCTCAAACCGAATCCAGCGGAGTCCAGTGTATGCCCAACTTCAGATGCCATTAACACAAATGAAATCAACATCTCATTGGAGCAGCAGCTGCCCAGCTAGGGTTCCTGGCATTTGTAGTGAGCCTCTATTCCCTTCTGGGCAGCCACGGTGTGAAGGGAAGAATAAAAGGACTACTAATCTTTTTGGCTCAGAGCACACCTAATGTGGTGTGGATATTGTCAGTGGGTTTAACATCAGATGGTAAGAAAGGCAAATCTGTGTATGATTTATGCATAGCTTCGAGTTGCCCTCTTTGAGATTCTGGATATTTGAATGGTTCTGAAGATGCCTAACCCCCTCTGTCTTTGATCATTTCCCTTCAGCCTGAGCAATATCAACCCGTGTCCTTAGCCATCTGTTTCTTTTGATCTTGTCTTACAGAATTTATAGTCCTCGGATGAACTAAATTTACATTGGTCAGTCGGGGTAAACTGTGGTGAGACGGCTGAAGGTTGGAACAAAATTAAACCCCCCCCCCCCCCCAAAGGTTGAGTCAGAAACACTGGCTTGAGAGGCACAGCATCCGCTTGACTTGAGCCACAAAGAGTGACAACTCCACACAGACCCTGAAAATATGGCGCAAAAATGAAGGAACAAGTGAAAACACTCAGAAACGTGAACCTGTGCCTTTAAATATGCCCTGTAAGAGAGCTTTTAAAAATGCAGATGCTAAAAAAACGATACTTTAACCAGAATCTTGCCAAGTTGAAATAGATTTGATTTGTATCTGGGTTCTCCTGAGCTAGTAAAAGGGGGAACTGCAGTAAATCATCCCCTAAATAAAGCGCTGTGGATGGGAATGTTGGAGATATGCAGGAAAGGGTCTGATGGTAGGACTTTGGAGACTGCTGCTGGCCCCCCCAAAACTCACCAGCCTGCAGCCACTAGAGGGCAGTGCGCACTCGTCTACATGACCCACTTTTGGCATGTCCTTGTCTCCGTCTGCTAAAATGAAAAACCTCTAACTGCTGTAATAAATTTGGCTAAATTAGCTGCTAAATGGTTATCTCAAGTAATATGTATTTGCATTAATCATCTTGCTCTAAACCAGAACAAGCCAGAGTCCTAAAGACGTAGTAAATTCATATTGTCCATTTAATTACGGCTAATAAGTGCTTCATATACAATAGTTTCATGAAGTACATTTTGATTTTTTTGGGGGGGGGTTACCGATGGGGAAATGAAGTCACTTTGGAAAAGAACAAGGTTTTGGGCTACTGAAACTCTTCCTGTCTCTGAAAGTGGCCAACCAATCAAACCGTCACGGACTGTGTCTACAAGTGGACAGGCTTCCATGCTTTCTCCCATGCTTCCCCCTTTTTTCTAACAATACAATGTAATGGATAGCTGTAAAATTTAATAATTATGTCTTCACTGGTGCTTGAAAAAGCCATGATGAATGTTTCAGACGGCGGCAAGTTTTGTTTTAAAGCTGCCACACAGTGCAGGGCCCTGGAAGGCCAAGGACTGTCACCTTCCCTTGGTGGCCAGCCTCCACAGGTAGCATTGTGTGTTCCTTTTGTTGGGGACTGTAAGTTCTGCTATCCTGCATGCATGGCTTCCCAGGCTACAAAACTCCTAGCTGAGGCAGAGAGCAGTGAAGTGCCAAGCATAACGCTCTTCTGTCAAGCCACTGTGGCATACAACACGAAGAGCCTTTATTCAGATCCTCTCAGCCTGGTTAACTATTAATGGAGGACAGTGGCTTATGCAATTCTTCACAGAGGAAATCACCATACTCCAGTCTGATTGGTGATAGAATTCTATATGCTTTGTAACCAGAATAAAGGATACTTATTAATGGTTCTAGTATTTTTTTTTAAATAAAGACTAAAAGACTAAGAAATCTTTTTGCAGAATCACATGAAAAAAACGTTGAATCAGCAGGCTAGGCTGGCATGGCTTGGGTGGGGATTTTGGACCAGAATGGAACCCAGAACAGGCAAAAAACAAACAACAGAAAACCCAAATCCAGAGTATACAGGCCTGAAAGGGGTAAGTGAAGAAACAATCGGAAGATCAAGTTAAAATTTAAAAACCAACAGAAAGGTCACCCCACCCTCTATACTTTTTACTTAAAACACCAGCCTCCCAGTTTTCAGATAAGGGCCTAAAAAATCTTCTGATACAAAGAGCTGATGCAATATCTTTTTAGGATGAAGCAGGATAGCTTAGTCTGCTTAAGGGCATTTGGTGAGAAGATAAATACAAATTTACCAGGGTCCATGAATACATTAACACAGTCTTTCATTAAAGCAGGCTCAAGAATGCCAGCCAAGAATGAAGCCCCGAATGAAAAGGCAGCAGACAGGTGAGTTTTGATGTAGAGGTGGGACTGAAAAACACAGGGTTTCCTCCTCCTGGAGCCAGGGAGCAGTGTGACTGCTATGGGTCACTGTAGGGAATACTGAGGAGTGGGTTACAGAGTCCTTGGTGCATTTCTGAAGACAGGCATTCTCTGGGCCATAACGACTGCTATGGGTCACTGTAGGGAATACTGAGGAGTGGGTTACAGAGTCCCTGTTGCATTTCTGAAGACAGACATTCTCTGGGCCATAATTGTTCCCTGGACTACAGCCTTTAACAAACAGAACTTTTCAAGGGCTACATCTTCACATAATTTTCAATCATGACTTCTAGATTGGTGTTTTCTGAATGCAACCTCCATGTGTCCTTGGAATTCACAGAGAAGACAAGATGTTAGCTCTGATGAGGGAAAGGAATGTTGACCAAAATGTTACCCAAGTTGCTTTTGTTTACAAGTTCACATAAAAGAAGTTACCACAATGTCTTCTTCGTACTGAATCAGGAATACTTTTTGCTCACATCTTCTCACAGAATATAAATTTAAAACTTTGGGATGAAGCTTTTCTTGAAAAAAAAAAAAACATACTGGCAAATCAGTTGGATCATTCCAGCTGTGCCAGAGGCAGGATCTGACAGCTTTTCCTGAGCTCATGTGGTCCTAATCAGCTCAAGAAGAAAAGCCACGTTGGTGCCAGTTTGAAAGAGATTTTTAGTGTGTAATAAATTAGAGAACTTGAAAAATACAAAAAAAGCCCCTTTCTTGATTCTGTTATCTAGCAGCTGCTGTTGTTATTTTTAAGGCGCAGGTTTGGATAGTAGGGAGAAATAAAGGAATATTTAGGTCAGTCCTCTTTACAAAGAAAAATAAGTATGATGTAAGTTGGTTGATATGGTAATTTTTAAAAACAGTTAACTGGCCAGGCAGTGGTAGCACACGCCTTTAATTCCAGCACTTGGGAGACAGTGACAGGCAGATCTTTGTGAGCTCTAGGCTAGCCTGGTCTACAGAGAGTCCAGGTCAGCCAGGGCTGTTACACAGAGAAACCCTGTCTTGAAAAAAATATTTAGCTGTCTTCAAAAAGATTTCTCATCAAGCCCATGAACCCCTAGTGTTCTATGGGAATGTTCCCCACCACTCCACTTTCCTTCCACACTGAAGGTTCCTTAGAGTTACAGACTGGCCCTGCATTTGGGTGAAGAATGCAGTGGGAACAGACTGAGTCCTCCTGGTTGAGGCCTGCCCACCTAGTAATTGCAGGAAGGTTGTGTAGGGGGAAGAATAGAGGAGAGCAAAATAAGAGATACCATCAAAGAGGGAGCTAGAATAGGTTTAAAGCGAAATCAGGTACTAGGGAAATGTCCAGAGATCTACAAGGATGACACCAACTAACCATCTAAGTAACAGTAGAGAGGCTAACTTAAATGCCCTCCCCTGATAATGAGACTGACAACTAACTTATATGCCATCCTAGAGCCTTCATCCAACAGCTGATGGAAGTAGAAGCAGATACCCACAGCTAAAAACTGAACTGGAATCTAGTTGCAGAGGAGGAGGAGTGATGAGCAAAGGGGTCCAGACCAGGCTGGTGAAACCCACAGAAACATATGACATGAATAAGAGGGAGCTCTTGGTCACCAGACTGATCACTGGGAAACCAGCATGGAACTGATCCAGACCCCACGAATGTGGGTGTCAGTGAGGAAGCCTCAGAAATCTATAGGGCCTCTTGTAGTAGATCAGTACTTATCTGTAGCATAGGAATGGACTTTGGGAGCCGATCTCACATGGAGGGATACGCCCTGAGCCTAGACACATGGGGGAGGGCCTAGGCCCTATCCCAAAGGATACAACAGACTCTGAAGACCACCCCCATGGAAGGCCTCACTCTCCCTGGGGATCAGAAAGGGTATGGGATAGGTAGGGTGTTAGTGGGGGGCAGGGGAGGAGGGGAGGGAGAGGAAACTGGGATTGACATATAAAACAATCTTGTTTCTAATTTAAATAAGAAAAATTAAAAAAAAGAAACCACCATTGAGGGGATGTTTGACTTTTAGTCAAAACCACTACCTGTGCCTAACTGGGAAGGGAGTGGCAAATAACAGACCAAAGCCAACTGTGAAGGGCTTAGATTCTAAAACATGTGACCTTTGATAGCAAATACCTCCCCTCAAATGAAAGACAGGATGATAATCTTTATTGAACAGCCTTTTAAAATGCCACTTGATCTCTTGACTCGACCACAGGTTGAGTACAAGAATGTTCTGTTTGTAAATAGTAGTCATTCTCCTCCAAACCCCACAAACTTGGTTGGTGTGGGGCACATCTGTGTTCCTGCACACAGTTCCCAACAGAAGAATTAAAGTTTTTCTTCAGAAAAACTTTGTCTCCAGACATAGCCAGTAACTGGAAGGATAAAAAAGAAGCCAGTGTCTGAGGCAGAGATATATATCATTCTGTTAGTAAATTCAAATAAATCAGTACAAACTTTCCTTCAGAAATATGGAGAGAGATAGAGATAGATAGATAGATAGATAGATAGATAGAGAGAGAGAGAGAG